AGTAATTAGCATTGCTTTGTGATGCGTTCAGCTGCGTGCGGCGGTGTTTCGTCAATTTTTCATCAGATGATGCTATGTCAGTGATATATTTTTTCGCAGTGTTATGGTATTCTAAACTGCTTAATGTGCCCCAATGTGTTTATCTTCACAGTTCCAAATTCTGGCATGGTCCATTTTAAAACGCGATCAAATTACATGGAGGTCTCGCAAGCGAGACTCAGAGGAACTCATGCGATATCATCGGTTGTCGAAGTGGTTTAATAAAAGTGGCTGCTCATTTCTTTAAAATGAGGTTGTTTTCCGCTTAAAAGGTAGTTCAATCTTTCATAAAGCTGTATAGTTTTGAATACTTACTAACCTGTTCTGTAGCCAGCAGCAGATGCGATCTCAGCGAATGTTGTTTCATTTTGAGGCAGACCGCCGGAAGCCGAAGTGAAAACTAAAACCCTTAATTGGCCTCTGCTTGCAGCCAGTCCAGATCGTATGGGATATCTTCCTGTAAGAAATGCGGCCCTGTTTGGCGTGCAGATTGAATCTGGCGTCACATCATGTCGCAAGAGAGCTCCTTGTTCAGCCAACCGATCAATGTTTGGAGTTTTAATCGTGTCATTACCAAAACAACCCACATCTCCGATTCCCATGTCATCCACAAGAAATATAAGAACGTTTGGCTTGGCCGATGCTTTTTTCATCACGAGAACGAGAACAATAAAGCTAAGGCAGTTCTGCAGCATAATTATCGATGATTTTAAACTAGCAACTATGGTTGCCTAAACCAATGTCGATTTAACATATTGAACTGAAAGACCGAATGACTCAGTCACGCTATTACTGTCACGTGATTTCTATTATTGTTCCCATGACTAGCTTTGCTTAAGAAACAAGACGATCTAAGATCATAAGTCGGGCTACAGGTAGAGGCGCTGTTACAAGTGTTGACCACTCACGGTATGCAGTGGTTCTAAAAGAAATACAAATGTACCATGGTCTTGGTTTGTGTGCGTGGCGTAAGATTTTTTCACCCCTGAGAGGCACCAATTCTACAACAACACACTGTCACATATGTTTGGTGCAATACCCTGACAGGTGGCAGCTGCTGTGGACCTTTTTAAGCTGAACAGCCCAAGAGGCACTAAACCCGCCCTTTTTAACCTCTAAAAGCTATGATGAGCACCTCAGTCCCTTTCTGACAAAGTGTAGTCAAAGCGGGTCGGTGTTTGTTTAAGCGTGAAATATTCAACTTTGTCTAGACAAACTGTCGCGCTTCATCATTTACAGTTATGGGAAATCCGTACTGTTATTCAGCGACTTTAATTTGAACGCGTGAGAAGGCAATACAAACGACATTAAACAGGATTAGGCGGAAAATAAATTTTGACTAAAAGTAGTATGTACGTGCAGAAACAAACACGGTAAATTGACGGTATGGACACAAACTTGCATGTTTCACGCTTGAACAAATACGTAAAAGCTGAATTCTGTAAACAAGGATACTCCCTGTGGCACGTTTCAAATTTCGAAACTTTTTACTTGTTTACTTTTCCAGAAAGCTTTTAAAACGACAGCCGGCTGTTATCTTGAACCCTGAAGATAATACCGGAAAACGATGTAGATCAGAGTATTCAATCATGATTACTTACAGGGCTGATAACTGACTTATCTTTCAGGCTGATAAAAGAAATGATAATCGAGTGACACTGCCATCTGCCAAAAAAATTGTTACGTTTTTAAAGATACCCGCTTTGAAAGATTCCCCATTTTGAAGATTCCCGCTATTAGAGATCCCCCGTTGTAAAGATTCCCGCTTTTAAAGATTTTCCGTTTTAAAGATTCCCGCTTTTATAGATTCCAGTGAGACCTTCGCTAAATCATTTGATTCTCTTGCTATTTTGAATTCGCGGAACGACCCGTTTCGAAAAATACGCTCATTACACAAGCCATCTTTTAGAGTGGGTCTACCGCGAACGGTGTGTGGGTCTGTATGCTTGAGCGTGGAAAAGATGACACCATTCGTTAAGATACTCGACAAATCCGCCATGTTCGACATGGTGGAAAGAAGGTTGCGCCTCTATTACGTGTCTGTGGTATTTCCCATCGCACGTGACTGAGCTTTGTGGAGAAACCCGATGGTAAACCTATCGTCGGTCGCCCGACTAAAAAATTCTCACCAGGGAAACGTAAATTATCAACGTAAAGCGAGAGGACTCAATTAGCAAGTGAAAGAGAGGTGTTTGGCTTTGAACTTGTCTGAAGGCAGAACCTTCCCTTTTTTTCACCTGGTTTTGTCTCTCTTGGGTAGTCAGTCCTATTTAGGCTGTTGTTATCTGAAGGCAGAACCTTTCTTTTTTTTTTCACCTGGTTCTGCCTCTCTTGTGTAGTCAGTCCTATTTGGGCTGTTGTTATCTGAAGGCAGCACCTGGCTCTGTCTCTCTTGGGTAGTCAGTCCTATTTGGGCTGTTATTATCTGTAGGCAGAACCTTCGCCAGTCAGCGGTATTAGTATTTAGCATGCGTTTTGTCCGATCGATCGTGGCTTCGCGTCGGATATATTGTTACTGTTACACGGCTGTTAGTTGTATCCATGTTTGATTAAAGCCTTACACGAATTGGTCGTGCATTGGTTCTCGTCTTACCTCATTAACTGGTGCCTTCTTTTATTTTCCACCTGGTTCTGTCTCTCTTGGGTAGTCAGTCCTATTTGGGCTGTTGTTATCTGAAGGCAGAACCTTCCTTTTTTTTTATCTGGTTCTGTCTATCTTGGGAAGTTTGTTCATTTTAGACTCGTTTTTATTTTAGAACAAACTAGTTTTTAGCATGAATCTCAGCAAGATCAAATTCACTCGTTTGGACTGTAAATATCTTTTCCTTTGCAGATTTAATTCAACGTTAACCATGAAAAGTCGTGACGAAAAGGCCATGTTTTTTTAAATTAAAAAATTAGTTCTCCTGTTGCGATGACCAACCAATTCGAACTGAATTAACACCATTTAGTAAGGGCATGTTCTGTTGACTAACTTTCTTGCATTTTATTCTGTCGATGTTGTTTTTGTCTTGGTGGTGTCTGCCCCTAATTCTCGTGGATGTTTCATTTAAAATCAATAATTGATTTAAGAATGAAATTACCAACGAGTAAAATACCTCTTCTTGTAACGTATTCCATCGCATTTACATTTCAAACTCCACTCTCCACTGGGATAACTTCCCTTGCTTGAAAATTAACTTGAGATACGAGATATAATATCGGTCATAGACTGTAAAAGAGGTTTGTGAGTAAAGAACTTTTTCGACTTGTCTCTATTTTCTCGCAGCCTAATACATGTAGTTAGTAGTGTTCGCAGCGGCGCGTCAGGAAACCTCGGCAGGAAAAACACTCCTAAGATTTTACTCCTTTAATGATCGCTTTAAAGTACATTACTTACTTAGCATTTAGCCAATTATGTGCCGCTAAATTCCGTAATATATTTCTTTACAGGCCAATATAATCGGGGGAAAAAAAAACGAGTTCTGTTGCGCTGTGAGATGCATGAATGTTCTCATCGCGGTTAGAAATTGCTGTTGTTCGCGGTGTTATTTTCCGGAGTGGACATACCATTACTACATTTTTGTTAGCGTTTAAAAATCTAAAAATACATGGTTTTAGTGGAAAACTCATCCGTTTTGACTCTGAGCCACTGTCGAGTTGTGTGTCTCAATAGAATGGGTCAGCAAATTTGCATTGTATGTTTCTCTAGGGGCTAGGGAAAATAGCAGGTAATTTAGTGTTAACAAATGAGTTGAAAACGTAAATTGGCCACCGTAAAGGGTAAAAAAGCTGACGTTTCGAGCGTAAGCCCTTCGTCAGAGCGAAGGGAAAATAGTTGACTCCACGCGAGTGAAGCCGACGCTTAAGGTCGGTGTCGATCCTTTATTATTCTTTGAAAAATATTTCGATCATTGAGTCAAATTGTAGCATTTCTTTGGCTTACATTGTGCACTTTAAAGTAAACACGAGTTGTTAGTTCCACGCGAGGGTTTAACCTTGAAAAATGCAATCGCGCGAGTGAAGCTGACATTATGCGATGGACTAGCATCCCATCCAGGGGGGAGTAGCAATACTCCTAGCCGCTTC